TTTATTTCTTGCTTTTGAAGTTCATATGTCATGCTGTGTTGTAGCCTACAGAATGCACAATTCTTCTCGTGATTCATGGCATACACACGTTTTACTGATGTCACGACAGTACAAATTGCAACGTTAAGCGTCCCTTATGTGACGTCATGTTAGTATCTACTGACTGAGTGACAGACAACACTACTTTATAGTGATAAAAGTGGTTAAAACAGTATACGGGGAGTATATAAAATGAGACAAAACAGGAAAGCATCGCTACAGGAGAGCATGTGTTTCATCATTTTTTTCTTTTTTTTTACTTGTTAAAGGTAACGTTTAAAATGTCATTTCGGAAAATAAAATACCAAATTATGGTTGGTGTTTTTTTCTATGAGTATGTTGTCTAGTGATGTCAGAATAAAAACAACGAAATCGATACACTAACACGAAATAATTGCAAGTGGAAATTTGGTTAGAATATAAGTTTAGGGTCTTGAAAGTAATAAAACGTTAATCGAACACGAACCTATAGAATGTTATTGATTTTATATTCTATATATGGAAATAGAGGTCTTACAATTATTTATTTGAACACTAACAAAGTTATTCGGCATTGCGGGCTTAAAAAGTCATCTTATAAATGTGTGTGGGCCACCCCTTCTAATGTTTTGAGCCATAGCATACAAAATGTTCGTATAATACGGAGGTACCCGTTTTACTTTAGCTTCATCCTTTTGCTATCGACTTTCTCGTTTAAATGAACTTTCATTTATGGCATTAAGACAGTAGAACTATAAAATGGTGCCAAACTTCAACCGTTAGTTCGATTGCTTATCTATGCGTTATAAGAGTAACGGTCATTCTTTTAGCGTGGATGGTGGGCGGTTGGGTGCTGCTGACTGGCTGCCTTTCTTCTGGTTAGCTGTTCAAAATTAAGAACTGCGGCAAATAGCTATAGTAGCCTAACCATGAACATAAAATACAAAATATATTCCAATTCGATCTTTTTGTGGGGGAGGGGGGGAGTCCATCTGAGTTCCTCTACCAAATTTTCTCGAAATTGGTTTAGTCAGTTCATAACAAGAACTTTTGACACCAGACAGACAGATGAGTGGATAACTCTGCTTTACATACGTATAGATGCGTCATTTTTACTTAATTATTAAAAATGATTAAATTTTAAAGTTCTGTAACCCCAGAATTAGGAAAATATTTGTTTTACTTGTTGAGGCTTAAAATGTAAACAATCGATTCAACAAACAGCAGCAGTCATCATAAACAATAGTAGAATCAACTTTTGAAGAAAGTGCAAAATAAATATCTTTAGTTGGGGTTTGGACCAACTGCCAGTGTGACGTCAAACCTCCTGGGTTGGCTGCAGAGCAAACCAGCTTCATTTTTATGGGGTGGAAGCAAAAACAAATATATGTATATATGAAGGAGGAGTTGTATATGTATATCTTTAGGTCTGAACCTCTATTTCATAAACAAGCTATTAACACGTTAGTAGAAATGAGAACATCACTTAACTGATAGTATTAACCCTAGTATTACGATTGGTTTTTTAACGCATTTGTCTAAACTAATTTAGGCAGCATATTGCTCGTGGATCCATAATAACCTATGAGTCACACAAAAATTAAAGAAAAATACCATCAATTAGTTCAAGTAATCTCTCAATGTACTGCTGGGGTCTTTGTGTATTTTATATAGAAAATGAATAATTCTTCTAATTTCGTTTGGTTAGTTCTTTACATTGTGTTGTAACAGGAAAAAAACACAAAGCTCAGCACACAGTACACATTTCAGGAACATATTTAAATTACAAAAGCTTAAACCTTCTAGTATACACATACATACAAAATTTCATACTACTCGTGGCAACCATTTTGTGACGAGAATGTTTTTGTCACGCGATCTGGCATTCTTCTCTGATTGGTTGGAGGTAGAAAGTTCCTTAAACATATTACTAGTTTTTAGCAGTGCTTAAAACTCCGTAACATGTGGCTAATTGCTAGAAGCTTTCCAACATAAGTTGGGTAACTTTGTTACCGTAACAAGGTTTCCAAAACGACGTTTCGGAATCATACCCAGCGTATCCTTGCCTTAATATTTCATACTATAATGCAACATATGTAAACACACCAGTAGTTAACGGTATCAAAACAGGTCGGTAGTTTATGGTTGAGATATAAGCAACCGCAGTGAAACTCGGCATAAATGACCTAAATACAGAACTGTAAGTTATAAAGGTATGGAAAGGAGTTAGATAAAAATATGAAATCACATGTTATCAAACTACTTGAATCTAAATCTCTTCCAAGAAATCAGATAATATCTCGCATGTGTAATCGTTATCAAACTACTCGACTCTAAATCTTTTCTAAGAGATCAGATAATCTCTTACACGTGTAATCGTTATCAAACTACTCGACTCTAAATCATTTCTAAGAGATCAGATAATCTCTTACACGTGTAATCGTTATCAAACTACTCGACTCTAAATCTTTTCTAAGAGATCAGATAATCTCTTACACGTGTAATCGTTATCAAACTACTCGACTCTAAATCTTTTCCAAGAGATCAGATAATCTCTTACACGTGTAATCGTTATCAAACTACTCGAATCTAAATCTTTTCCAAGAGATCAGATAATATCTCGCATGTGTAATCTAAATCTTTTCCAAGAGATCAGATAATATCTCACATGTGTAATCGTTATCAAACTGTTAGAATCTAAATCTTTTCCAAGAGATCAGATAATATCTCACATGTGTAATCGTTATCAAACTGTTAGAATCTAAATCTTTTCCAAGAGATCAAATAATATCTCGCATGTGTAGTCGTTATCAAACTGTTAGAATCTAAATCTCTTCCAAGAGATCGGATAATCTCTTGCACGTGTAATCGTTATCAAACTGTTAGAATCTAAATCTCTTCCAAGACATAGGATAATCTCTTGCACGTGTAATCGTTATCAAACTACTCGAATCTAAATCTTTTCCAAGAGATCAGATAATCTTTTACACGTGTAATCGTTATCAAACTACTAGAATCTAAATCTTTTCCAAGAGATCAGATAATATCTCACATGTGTAATCGTTATCAAACTACTCGACTCTAAATCTTTTGTAAGAGATCAGATAATATCTCACATGTGTAGTCGTTATCAAACTGTTAGAACCTAAATCTCTTCCAAGAGATCGGATAATCTCTTGCACGTGTAACCGCCACAATATGAAATACGTAAGTTAATCAAGAATAATTTTACTTATTCTGCGACTAATCGTTTTTGTTTTGTTTTTTCAAATGCTTCCAGAAAATATATGAGTAATAATTGTAATAAAGTACTACATAATTGTTTGCAATTAATTATATGCCTTTTTTTTTTCATCCGTTCAAATATTGGCGCAAACAAGTTTAAAATTCTGAAATACGTTTTTTTAAATGACACTAAATTTCATTTAAAAGGACGTAATCCGATCTATGTAACTCCACGATTAAAAGTTTTTACGCACGTTGAATACCAGCATTTGCCGAGCAGCAATCATACAATTTGTGATCGTAACTGGATTCTGGTTGTATCACAGATGTCTATTCATTTTAGTGTAGCCAACCATATTCACCGACGTATTGCTCACTTTAATACGAAGATAGATTAATAAAAAGTACTGTAACGTCTAAGCGACAAACTAAGGGAAATATGTAGTGATAATTGCATGATTTAATTCTATTCGCAGGAATCGAACTTGGTTGAAAGAGAGGAAGAGCTCACGCAACTGAAAGCAGAAGTAAATGAACAGAAGGAAATTTGTGCTGATTTGGTAAGTGTGTTTTTCTTGTTCATTGATCTTCACTTGATCGCCTTTTTTTTTTAGGGTGTCCTTGAGAGTTGAAGATTTCTAGAATGAAGATGAAACATTAATTGTTGATAAGGTTTTTGTTAGTGTTTAGTTAGGACAAAACAGATTTATTACGATTCTGTTCATGTACCAATTGTATAAGACTCTGATTTCTGTCATATATATGGTGTATACTTACTTGTATGTGCGTGTATTAAATATGGTATACAGTTTTAATATTGAATTACTAACTAAACGAGAAAAAATATTTCCTGAACATTTGCTTGCAAGTGAATATTAACGTTCATTTATTATAAAACATATTTGTTCGAATATCTAGGAACATATGCGAGTACACGATTTGTACGGTAGGTGGCGATACGGTATTTTAAACACTGCGCAATTCAAAACCAACAGTTTTTTTCATAAATAAGAGCCGAGTTAGAATATAAAGCAAGTAATTTGAGTTCGCATCAAAATCTTGTGATTTACAACAAAAAATTAAGGAAAAAAAATATTATTAAGATTAGTTTGACCGTTAAGCGAAATGAGAAAAACATCACTCAATTTATTTAGGAAAGAAAAGGATGGGATCTTTTGCTTCAACTTAATTTTTCAATTATTTAATTTTGTTTTTATGGCATCACCTCTCTATGTGAATAAGACATTTTTGAACCTGAGTGACTTCACGTTTGATTGGATGTTTTATTTGAGCTACTGTATGTTTGTACGAATAATAATAATAAAAAAAAAACACAGTAGTAGGCTATTAAATTCTGACGAAATTAATTCTTAAAGATTTAAAAAAAAACTTTAAACCAGAGCTAGGCCTAATAAAGTCACTGTTTAAGCCTAACTGTTCTGAGACGTGGTATATCTAAAGGAAATTTATGTTCACTGACAGCTTTTAGTTGGTTTTACATGCTATAAATATAAAGATATACTGTGTTTCATAGAGTTGAGAAAAGAAACTGGTATCTATGTAATATACATTTCATTTCTGTTTACTGAAGATTAAAACTTAGATGCCATGAATTCCTGCCCGAAATTTTCACGGCAAAATTTAATTAATTTTCCATCTATAATAGCATCATTGATTATCTGTCATAAACACTTGGTGGAGTGATTGTCGAAATATATATTTTCAGAAATAAGTGACATCACCTCCATTTTTGAATAATTCAATATCTAGGGCTTGAAAGCACGTGCATAGAGAGCAGAGCAAATTTGATTTTTTTATATCTAATCGTTCACAAATTATGATATTTTAGTTACGTCGCTTACTAAGATATAAACGACAAGACGAAACCATTCTTAACGAGTGCGCTCACACAGAGTAAAAAGTACAGTAAAAAAAACATCACCGTTACTTACGTTTAATTAACAGAAATTCACTCCATAATGCTACAGCTCATTGCTGTATTTCCATGGCGGATAAAGCACAGATAATTATCTCGTGCAGCTTTATGGGGAAAAAAAAAAGTTAACGAAAAAGAAACCACTGTAAAAAAAATTCTGGACATCAACATAATCTACTCGTAAACGTTGCTTGTTTTGAATGGAAGTTGACAATTAATACTACTGGAAAATGTATGATGTATAGTTGGTTTTTTTTTGCGTTGTGTTATAGGCTTATATATTTAACTTTGCCTATTGGTATAATATCTGGCATGCGCTACGAATTATGGCCATTAAAAAAGCCGAGAAGAAACTGTCGGAGTCATGCGACCTTTTCTTTGTGAACTTATCACGTTTTCCATCTGAGTAGCAGATATTTCCAATCAAGCCTGCAACTAACGCCGTGTCGCGTATCGTCTTATGTAAGATAGGTTTCGTTAGTGATTCCAAATGTTATTGTGTTAATAGTTCCCATGTCAACTAGCTGTAATACACGTGGCACAGCGGATTGGCTGCGGACTTACAACGCTAGAAACCGGGTTTCGATACCAGTGGTGGGCAGATAGCCTATTGTGTAATTTGTAAATAATTAAAAAAGAAAGAACAAACACGTGGTGCTACCTGATAGAAACACCGTACTTGGATATGGATTATCATCATTTCTGTAATTAGAAAGGTTTCTCGTTATTATTAACTTCCGATCATAGCAAGCTATGTACTTAGAACGAAACTAAAAATCAATTGTTATGTTTCTGTAGATGACTCGGCACGTTTTAGTTGTGAGATGAGAAAAGTAACTGTTTATCTCAGAGTGAAATTGTAATGTGTTTCCATGCGCTATTTTATATAATTTGTCAATAAATTCCTAATTTTATCTATCACAACGTATAAGAATTATGGCTACGTGCATGAATTGGGAAATCAATACGGGAAACAGTTTTCTCTCAAAGTTATGTAAAATCACGCTCATGGCGATTATTATAAGCAAAATTAGAAGTTAACTAAACGTGTAAAGTATCACTACTGTTGGTTTTGTTTGCTATTTTATTAAGAAGTTCATAGAATATTTTATGTTTTACTCAGTTAGAATTAAAATATGTTTAGATACAATTTCTCCCCATCTCTCTTTCTATCTTGTCTACCTCTTTTTTTATGTCTTTTTGGCAGATTTCGCTTGAACGTAAATTATAAGTGACTTCCAAACTGTCCCTTTCTACGCCTATTTCTAACTATATCTGTCTGTCATTATGTGTGTGTTGATCTGTTTCTTTATGTGTCACTTGAATGAAAGAGTGCAATCTATAAATAGGAAAAGAAATATTTAAAGCCTTAGCTTTCAGTCTGATGACAAGCTTTCGATTCGTGTGTCTGATGATGGACTGGCATCAGGCCGAAAGAGACGTTTTTTGTATTTATCATTTTGTCCGTTTACCTCTCTGCCCGTCGATCATCATAATTATATTTTCGTATATCTGTTTATCCATCTGTTTATAAATATTTATCTTTATGCATAGATTAATAAACAGACAGAATAACAACATTAATTTTTAACGTGATAATGTACGAACATAAGGCTTAGATTGAAGGGGTTGAAAGTTAAGCTATGAAATCTCTGTAAGATGTAATTTAGGTTTACCTTTTTTTAGTGAAATACTAAGAGAAAGATTAGGTTAACTTGTATTTGCAGGCTCTAACTACATATGAAACCAGTTCCATCAAATGATCAGATTTTGTGACACTTTTAAATCTTAGAATGAACTCACTTTTTCGTGACACGTACTTACATATTTAACAATTGTGGATCATTTCTCAGAAGTTATTGTAATAGATTACGTTCATTAAGAAATAATAATAATTACTCCTTTCTACAGACTGTATAAGGCACAATGTTGAAGAAATCAATTTATTGGAAATGAAAAATATCTTTAACTTTAGGCCACTTGTGGTCATTGTTTAATAGCTCACATCCAACCGACAAGGACTAACCAGTTTCGTAGAAAACAGTGAGCAATAGTAATATTTTGTATACTTAAGCTATAACTAGACATTCTGACAACTATTCAAGAGTTAGGGGGTTTATGTGATTGCTAGTTTACCATGTTACGTTTGTATGTATGTATGTATGTGTGTGTGTGTATATAAATAATGAAATACAGGTCAAATAGATATTGTACACGGAACTGAGAAATGTTTAAAGAGCCACTCTGAAAACAGTGAAGGGCCACATATAGTTCGTGAGACCCCAGTCGGCCACCCTTGGTGTACAAATTCATTATACCCGCCCGTCGGCAAGGGTATTGTTTTCGCTGCTGTGTGATTTTGTATGCGTGAGAATCATTGTTAGATGTACACGACTGTTTTCGTTTAAGTTTAATACGAGTGTTATAATTTAGATAGTTTATATAGCGCGAGTGTTAAATTTAGTCATTTTTAGAAGCGTTAGTTTATCGCAGGTTTGTTTACGTAACTGTTTACGAATTATACGCTGTGTGGTTCATTTGTTGTGAATTAGTGATTGTTGCATGTTGTTACTAAAACTTCTGAGTTTTTCTCGTTGTTTCAGTTGAGTATCATTGCATCATAATATCTAGTAAGGTGTGGAACTTTCTAAACCTCTGTCAGAGTATAAATACATGTCGGAAATTTAGTTCACTAGATAGATCTAGACAGCGTGATTGTGAGTTTAGCCATAAAGAGCGTTTAGTGGCGATTTTTAAAGTGAAATTATCATAGATTGTATTGTAATAACAGAGCAGAAAGAATAATTCGTCTTGTCAAATTGTGTTCTAAAGTAACTGAACCAGCCTGTGTGACCTTTGACGAAAGAGAGACAATTATTTAACTATGATAACCAACATTTGTATATACGTTTGACTTGTTTTAATATATTATTTTATAACAAGTGGATTGTGTGCTGTTTTGTTTATTGTTGAAATTTATCGCCAACAAGTCACAGACACCTACTGTAAAGAATCTGCCCCATACATAAAACTTGACAAGAATAAATCGAAAAGTTTTCATCTGATTTTGTCCAAATTTAATACATAGGTTCAGAATACCCCAAGGAATAAGAGTTTAAATTTTGATGAATGTAGTACAAAGGTCAACCACATTCAGTTAATGGTAGCAAGGGGGGAGTTTCAAAAACGGTCGATATTTGTGAGCAAATTGAGATAGATAGAGAATCTTGGCACCTATGCACACCTAACCTACTAGGTTATTTCTTTTTAACAACATTTTATTGAGTTTATATCGTATATTGGAGAAGAAAAAATCACCTTTAGTTTTGAGTCAGTACAACTTTGGACGACAACATAAAAAGTTCGGCATGCCTGTTATTCCCAGATCCACTGTGTTGTGGTTAGCCACAACTTAAATTGTGCCTGGTGAAAACTAGTTTTTGCGTATAATCGTATGTTTCTCCATAAACTTTCAGTTATCCTATAATACAGTTTCAGCTCCCCTTGGCCAATTGTTCTTGTAGCTAAGAGGGCTCTCCTCAACGATTTTCCAAGCGAAGGGACTTATCCCCTATTTTTAACTACTGCTTATGTCACTGATCATCAAGCCTGCACAGTCTTTAT